GTGTGTGTGAGTGTGTGTGTGAGAGAGTGTGAGTGTGTGTGTGTGTGTGTGTGTGTGTTCGGGACACTCAGCGGTCGTTCAGGAAATGAAGATCTCCACAGGTCCATCTGGATCAGCAGGAGTCTGGTTTTAGTTCTCCTGTTTCTCTCTACACATTAAAAAAAAACAATATTTAGGCCTAATGTAAGTCATACAGAAATGAAACGGGTCAGATTTCTGCAGTTTTTACTCAATTATCCATATTTTTAAACTGCATTTATTCAAAAAGCTTAGAATCAGCCTAAATCTGTTCATTGCGAATACAATTACTGTACATTTATCCAGTTAAAAAGTAAATGGTTAAAATATGGCTACATGTGAAATAAGCAATATTTAATTAGTTAAAATGTATACGATTGAATCAAACTGGATTTATTGATGATAAATATATAAACCTGGTCATCATGTATTTACATTTATTAATTTAGCAGATGCTTTTGAGGAATACAAGCGGTTCATGACAGGAAGTGCTCATGATGCAAGTTTCAGAAGCTGTGCAGCAGGCTGTTAGGAAGGGCCTGATCTTTCTGATGTCGTGCAATCACAGATCACAGAGCGTTATGTGAACGTTAAGGGAACATGGCATCTGATCCTTTTGAACATTAGGGAAACGTTACATTTGAATGTTCTCTGAACGCTCTGAAACATGTAGCAACATTTCAAAAACATTTGAAGAGCAGATAACTTTGAATGAACATTCTATTACTGTTACTGGAAGAACTAACCTTGCCAACCTTGCCAGAACACTCTGAGAACATTCCCTGTCCGCTGGGACGCTCAGTAATGTCTCTGATGTTACTATTCAGTTGAACTAACTTTAACTTGCTCAGTAAGACTCTGGTGCTTCTTCATCATGACAGTATTTGAGCTGTCTGTGTTCATCGTGAAGCTGAGCTCGAATCACTGCAAGTCTTTGTGTTGTTCAGGTGTAATAAATGACTTCAGAGTTCAGTTTGTGCTGCTGAAATCATCTGAATCAAACCCTCTCGACACGCTCGACACGCTGCATGCTCCAGAAGCTCGTGGAAGGAAGGCTTTCAGCTGGCAGTCGCTGAGTCTGATCTGTCTGATCTGGTTTCTTCTGAAGAACACGTGAAAACACACACACACACACACACACACACGCACGCACACACACTCACACTCACACTCACACACACACACACACACACACACACACACACACACACACACTCACACACACACACACATCTCATTCAGCACTAATGAACTGACATAATCAGGGACGTTCACGCATATTCTTAGAAACCAACCCATCATAAAACATTTCAATAGGATTTCAAAAATAACAATAACAGGAAAATAAATAAATGAATAAATTATTAATACATTACTTGCTATTGTGTTTATTTTTTATTTTATTTTATTCTACATTCATTTGTTGTTATATTTAATTATTCCCATGTGTATTTATTGCCATATTTATTTATTTATACATGTATTTATAGTCTTATAGGAAATAAAAAAATGCGTGTAAATAAGGAGAACCAAACATACAAAAATAATTAAAAATAGATAAAAATTGGAAAATAAATAAATCAATAAATGGCTTGATAAAACAAATACAATTAATTTTTAATTAAAATTAGAAAATTAGTAAATAATTTTTGTATTATATATGTATATAGTAATTTGTATTCTTTTTTTATTTTTATACTTATTTATTTATACATTCATATACATGTTATATTTATTGATTCCCATGTATTTATTGCCAAATTTATTTATTTTATATTTATTTAGTCTTTTCAATTTCAGTAAGTTTTCAAAAGTGTGGAAATAAGGACCAAAACAGCAAAAATTTAAACTTAAATAAAAAAACAAATAAATAAAAGGAAAATACATTAATGAATAGTCTGAGTGTGTGTGTGAGGGTGTGTGTGTGTGTGTGTGTGAAACAGCAGTTCAGTTGAACACAGCTTGTTTAGTCACATGAGGAGGATCTGTGACCTCTGACCTCACACAGGAAACACAAGTGAAACTGACATCAGCAGCTGCAGAACAAAACCAGCCTACAAGTAAGTGTGTGTGAGTGTGCGTGTGCGTGCGTGTGAAAGCTGATTCACATGTCCAGTCACACACACACAGAGTCGATTATAAACTCATTATTCAGAACTCTGTGACGAACTCGTGACTCGTGAACGCGCTCCTCCGCGCGCCGCGGCGGTGATAAACGAACGCGCAGTGGCGCTCGTGACGTCAGGCGCGTGCGATTATTTTGAACGGGGTCAAGATGGCGGAGGAGAGCGGCGTAAAGCACCGGAATCACACCGGACAGAGCTGCACCGCGAGCCGACATAACGAAGGTAAGCGCGGCGGGACACGGCGCGATCGTGTGCGCGTTTACACCGGCGCGGCGCGTTTAACGGCAGCGGCGCGAGCGGCGCGTTCTGTCCGTTTGGCGGGAGGCGCGAGCAGGCCAGCGATCGCGCTGCGGTAAAATCAATAATAATATAATTAATTCACCGAATCAAAGGCGTCAGTCAGTTTGATCAGCGCGCCGAATGAAATCTGAGCGTAAATGTGAGGATTCAGTGAATGAAATCAGGCGGAAAAATCACCTGAGGAGATGATTTCATTCATTACAGCCGCGGGAGTGAGTTTATGTTCATTAAATCTCTCTGTGTTCGTTTAGAGGTGTGTGTGTGTGTGAGAGAGAGAGAGAGAGAGTGAGTGTGAGTGTGTGTGAGTGTGTGTGTGAGAGAGTGTGTGTGTGTGTGTGTGTGAGAGAGAGAGAGAGAG